TTATTCCATCCATCATTATGGTTAAATTTTGTATCGGTTAAACCGTTATTCATTTTTGTTTACATTTCCTTCCTATCAGCAAAACACACAACTAGAACCAAACTCTAAAACATAAAAAAGAAAAACCATAAATCACAAAAATTTGTTTTTACTGAATTGCCCTCTTGCTGTCCGCCAAAACTATTGCTTTCGCTATTGTCATTCTGACATGTTATTGTTGTCTTCTTTGTGTTAAGTTCTCTTCGTTAAATTTCATATTTTTTTAATCTTTTTTTTTTCTTCTTCTTCAACAAAATTTCTCCAGTCTTGTTATAAAATAGCTTTTATGCGTGTTTGAGGTGTAAAATATGTTAATTGGATGTGTGTTTTGTTGTGTTGTATTTGTTAAACTTTTAAATCTCTTTCTAACCTTTTGATGCCAAATATCAACTTTTATATTTGATAATGAACTTATTTCATAATGCAATGAAAATCATGTCACTCTTTCATATGAATTAAGAACAACTTATAATTTATTTAAAAAAATCGATCAACCGAATCTATTCAAATAAAATCAAACTGATTACTTTGATTTGATTCTATTTTTAAAAATATATTAAAAACCGAATCAAACAAAATTGATAAAGATATTATCAATTTGGATATTTTTTGACCAAAAATTAATCTAAACCAAATTGATTTCACCCTATATCTAGAGTAAACTTAACTATATGAATGTCACATGATAGATATAATTATACATATTCAAAGATGCATTGAAGAATTAATCTTAAAAAGGTTTAAAACCAATTATTTTTAAATAATTTTTGAAGTTTATGTTAGCAACTAGACAAATACCCGTATTTTTAGCATAAATACAATATTAAATTAATTGTTAATAAAATATATATTGGATAATATGTTTGATTAAGAAACCAATTTTAAAACAATGTAATTGATATAATTAATATTAAATCACAAAATGAGTAAATGATATACTTTTATTAAATGATGTAAACACTTTTAATATAATTGAATAAAATTATAAGAGATATTATGATTTAATTTTTTATATGTGTACTAAACTCTTAGGATTATTTGTTTGCAAATTATTAAGATTTAATTTAGAGTTCAAATATTGATCATGTGTTATTATATGTTAAATATAATTAATAAATTTTATATAAATTTTTGTAATATATAATTATGCTATTGAAGATTTATTAAATTTATTGATTTTTAAAAAAAGATTAAAAAAGTAAAAAAATTAATACGATAATTTATAGATGTTTGTAGTATATGAGCCGTATCTGTTGAGAATCAAGTGTGAGGAAGAAGTCTCACGTTGATTAGAAAAAGGAAGAATGAATACTTTATAAATGAGAGAACCACACACCTATCACCTTAAGGTTTTAGGTGGATATATGTTGTGCCTCTCACAAAAAAGGTGTGTCCTAAGTGTAAAATGCTCCCTCCTCAGAATTGTCCCTAAAGGTGGTATCATGAGCCTTTGATTTCGAGATAGTGACCGGCTTACTTGTACCGAAATACTTCCTGCAGCTGGTGATACAAGTCTATGTGGAAGAGAGAGCTTCCACTTGAGGGAGAGCATTGTGTATAGACTCACACTTGAGGGGGAGTATTGAGAATCAAGTGTGAGAAAGAAGTCTCATATTAATTAGAAAAGAGAAGATTTAACACTTTATAAGTGAGAGAATCCACACACCTACTTGACATCAATTGCCTTCTCGCCTTGAGGCAATTTGACTAGTGACCAAGTGTTGAGAATCAAGTGTGGGAAAAAAGTCCCACATTGATTAGAAAAGCGAAAAAATCAAGAAAGTGATGCAAAATTCACAAAGTATGAAGAAGAAGAGATGTTGCTGATGGTCACAACAAAAGATAAAGAAAAATCCAAGGATCAATGGTACTTGGATTCAGGATGCTCATTACATATGTCTGGAAGGAAAGATTGGTTTGTCAACATAAAATCCTCGATGAAGAATATAGTGAAATTCGCAAATGACAATACCCTAGCAACTGGAGGTATTAGTGATGTTATGCTTATGAGGAAATATGGCAAGAGGTCAGTAATTTCCAATGTGTTGTACATACCAAACGTGAATAGCAATTTGCTCAGCATATGGAAGTTGGTCGAAAAGAACTACAAAGTGTCAATCAAAGACAAGATGATGTGAGTCATCGATGCAAATGGAAGGTTAATCTTGAAGGCTTCCATGTCTCAAAATAGAACCTTTAAGATTGAACTTAATATGATGGAGTACAAGTGCCTTTCGACTGCAGCTAGCAGAGATGGATGGATATGACACTATCGACTAGGCCATCTCAACTTCAGAGACATCAGAGATTTGAAGAGAAGAAATATGGTTTTAAGACTGCCAAAAATCGATATTCCAAATGAGGTATGTGAGGAATGTGTGCAGGCAAAGCAGCACAAGAATAGCTTCAGTAAGGATGCAGGAAGCAGGTTGAAGGCTATTCTCGGATTCATATACTCTGATGTTTGTGGATCAATTCAGGTGGATTTAATGGGAGGTAACAAATACTTTGTTACATTTATAGATGATTTCAGTCGAAAACTATGGACTTATCTGATCAAGAAGAAAAGTGAAGTAATCAAGGTATTTGCCAAGTTTAAGTCTATGGTCGAAAGCTCAAATTTTTTAGAACTGATGGTGGTGGAGAGTATGTGTCGAAGGACTTCGACAAATTATATGAAAAAAATGGATTATGCATGAGGTGGTGCCACCCTACACTCCACAGCAAAATAAAATTGCAGAAAGGAAGAATCGAACCATCATGAATATGGTGAGAAATATGTTGTAATGCAAGCATTTATCTAAAGAGTTTTAAGGTGAAGCTGTGTCAACTGCAACATACATATTTAATAGATGTCCGATGAAGAAGCTAGAAGGAATTACGCTAGAAGAATGTTGGTATGGTATGAAGCCTAGCTTGATTCAACTGAAGGTATTTATATCTATTACACATAAACATGTGCCAGATCAGTTGAGAAGAAAACTTGATGACAAGCCGAGTCAGATGATCCTAGTAGGATGTGATTCGATAGGAGGTTACAAGTTGTTCGACCCAGTGAACAAGCAAATTGTGATCAGCAGGGACGTGATCATAAATGAGCTTAAGGAATGAGATTGGACTGAGAATGTCAAAAAAGATTCAGTGAGAATCTTACTTGAAGAACCAGCAGAAACTCAAGTAAAAAAAGAAGTTCGACAAGAGGAAGAAGTTAGAGATCAACCAAATACAAGCAGACCTCAGAGAACAAGACGCATACCTTCAAGGTTGCAAGACTGTGTGATTATATCATATGATGTGGTTGATAACGAAGTTGAGCTAGTACACTATGTTTTCTATGCATATGTTGAACCTGTAAATGTAGCTGAAGTATTGAAGGATTCAAAGTGGGTGAAAGCAATGGACAAAGAAGTGAGGTCCATTAAAGACAACAACACTTGGTCACTTGTCGAATTTCCTCAAGGCAAGAAGACAATTGATGTCAAGTGGATATACAAAGTGAAGATGAATCCCAAAGGGGAAGTAACTTGACACAAAGCAAGACTTGTGGCGAAAAGATTTCTCCAGAAAGAAGGAATTAACTTCAATGAAGTTTTGCACTTGTGGCTAGGATCGAAACAATCAGGTTCGTTATTGGTCTAGCAGAAATGAATAGTTGGCACATATGTCAGATGGACGTAAAGTGTGCATTCTTGAATGGACTCTTAGACAAAGAAGTCTATGTTGCACAACCAGTTGGGTTTGTGAAATAGGACGAAGAGAGAAAGGTGCACAGGCTGCATAAGCTCTGTATGGATTGAAGCAAGCTCCAAGAGCTTAGAATAAGAAGATAGATAGTTTTCTAAGGGAGAAAGAATTTATGAAGTACACAATTGAACATGGAGTATATGTAAGAAGAAGCAATAATGAATTGCTTATATTATGTCTATGTGTCGATGATTTGTTGATAACAGGTAGCTGCAAAAGTGAGATTGAAGTCTTCAAAGGTGACCTCAACAAGGAATTTAAAATATCTGATTTGGGTGACATTTCATATTTCCTTGCCATCGAATTCTACAAGAGCAGTAGAGGTTTGGTGATGCATCAAAGAAGATATGCAGAAGAAATTCTCAAGAAATTTGAGATGGAAAAATGCTCCCTCCTCGAAATTTCCTCTAACAGTGGTATCATGAGCCTTTGGTTTCGAGATAGGGACCAACTTACTTGTATCGAAACACTTCCCGCAGGTGGTGGGTAGAAGGTCTTTCGTTGAAGAGTGTCAACAGTGATACAAGTGTATGTGAAAAAGAGAGCTTCCACTTGAAGGGGAGCATTGTGTATAGACTCACACTTGAGAGAGAGTATCGAGAATCAAGTGTGAAGAAGAAGTCTCACATTGATTAGAAAAGAGAAGATTTAACACTTTATAAGTGAAAGAATCCACACACCTACCACCTTAAAATTTTAGATGGATAATTGATGTGTCTCTCACAAAAGTATCTAATCTTCAATTTTATATCAATATTTTTAGTAACTCCTCCCAACAACATCTAACGTAAACTTAACTATATGAATGCGATACATTAGAATTAATCTTAAGAAACTTTAAAACCAATTTTTTTTTTAAATTTTTTTATATTACCAATACCATCAACTTGAAAAAAGTTAAATAAAAAATGATGTAATCCAATCGAAAGTTAACATGTAAAATCTTTTTATACCTTGAATACATTATAATGTAAAAATAAAAGATAATATAAAAAAATAGTGTGACCCATGTCAAATAATTGAAAAGTACCACGCGAAGAAACTGATGGGTCATGTTTTTCTTTACTTTCATTTAACCGTCCACCACAACAGATTTGGTAGTTCTCTCTACTTTTGCTTCCTTCTCAAACAACCACCAATTCACACACTAACTCACCAGTAACCATATATAAACCCCACAACCCACAAAAGAAAAAAAAAAGCAAAAAATTAAAAAAATGTTAACTCTGAAAGGAGGAAGCAGACCACCATGGGTAGGTTTAGGAGCATCAGTTTGGGTTCAAATAGCATCAGGAAACACCTTTACTTTTCCTCTATACTCACACTCTTTGAAATCTGTTTTGGGTTTCAATCAAAGGCAAGTTACACTTCTTGGTGTTGCTAATGATATTGGTGAAAACGTTGGTTTGCTTCCTGGTATCGCTTGCAATACGTTTCCGCCTTGGCTTATACTCTCTGTTGGTGCTTTTGCTTCTTTTCTTGGCTATGGTACTCTCTGGCTTGCTGTTAGCCAAACAGTTACCAATCTTCCTTATTTGCTGGTATGGATCAACTCCTAGATCTATTTTCACTTTTTATTTTTTTTTTTATATTAAAGTTTGGTAAAGTAAATCAAACTCCATTACATTGATTCACTATACAATGTTCTAGTTTCGCTGTTTCTGAAGCTGCATCTGTTTCTAAAACTGCTTATTAAAGGAGACTAACTCTTGATCTGACTCAGAAAATAATAGAGTATATTTCTATTAATTTTTCTTTTTACTTGTGATTCAATAATTGCCGGTTATTAAATTGTTAATTGAGGACAGTTTTTTTCACCGTTCTAACATGTAACTTTGGAATTGAAGAAATCAAATTTTAGTGCACTGTGTTTGTTTTTCTTTTTTTTCTGACAGCATGAATGCTTGTTGAATTGACTATTGGCAATCCAAATTTGTTCTTTTGTTGCAATGGTAATAATGTGATTTCAATGTCAATTAGTTTGTTTAATTAACATTTTCTTTATGGAAATACAGAGGTCAATGTTGCATTTGATATTGGATATAGTTTGACTGAAATTGGCCAACTGTCATTTGTTTTTGTATCATGTTGCAGCTTTGGTTTGCCCTTGTTATTGCTTCCAACAGTAGTGCATGGCTAACCACCTCAGTTCTAGTAACCAACATGAGAAATTTCCCTGTTAGTCGAGGCAAAGTTGCGGGAATCCTGAAAGGTTATGGAGGACTTAGTGCTGCAGTTTTCACTCAAATTTACAGCCTACTGCTTCATAACAATTCTTCTACGTTCCTCATGTTGCTGACGATCGGTATTCCAGTTGTTTGTTTCAGTATGATGTTTCTTGTTAGGCCTTGTACACCGGCTTTAGATGAAGACTCCACATCTAGTTCTCATTTTATCTTTATCCAATGTGCAAGTGTTGTCTTGGGTGTATATCTTCTTGCAACCACGATATTTGGTAATATTCTTCCATTAAGTGGTACAGTTTCGTATATTTTGGTGGCTGTGATGGTTCTCTTTCTCATGGCTCCAATTGCCGTCCCTGTAAAGATGACATTGTATCCTAAAAGAGTTTCAAATTCAGACTCATCTGATCAACCACTTGAATCTTCAGACTCTCTCGGGCAAGGAAAAGATGACAAAATAGAGCCGCTGCTGGGATCTTCGTCAACAGGAGCGCTTGGAAGCTCGAACGATGATGATTCATCTGAGGTAGCTATGCTTCTTGCGTTAGGTGAGGGAGCAATAAAACAGAAGAAGAGAAAGCCTAAACGCGGGGAAGATTTTAAGTTTACTGAGGCTATAGTAAAGGCTGATTTCTGGCTATTGTTTTTTGTTTATTTTGTCGGTGTTGGCACTGGAGTTACTGTTCTCAATAATCTAGCCCAAATAGGTATTGCACAAGGTGAGGGAGATACTACAACTTTACTGTCAATTTTCAGTTTTTGCAATTTCGTTGGTCGGCTTGGTGGAGGAGTTGTTTCAGAGCATTTTGTCCGGTTAGTGAATCTTACTTATGATGAGTGAATTTAAGATCTATTCTTTATTTTTTATAGACAAACATTAGTGTTAAGAATGGCAAAGAACTGTCAGTTTTCTGTGTTCAATTGATATAATGGATTTCTCCACTTTTGACAATTTTCAGGACCAAATTGCTCCCAAGGACATTCTGGTTGACATGCACCCAGACAGTCATGCTATTGGTATATCTTCTATTTGCCTATGCTGTAAATGGAAGCCTTTACCCTGCAGTGGCATTTCTTGGTGTCTGCTACGGTGTGCAGGTTTCCATAATGATCCCTACCGTTTCTGAGCTTTTCGGTTTGAAAAACTTTGGCGTATTAGGCAACGTCATGTCGTTGGGTAATCCACTTGGGGCAACCATTTTCTCAGCTCTGCTAGCGGGTTCTATATATGACAAAGAGGCAGCAAAGCAGCACGGTCTTAGCCTGCACGGTCTTGACCTTTTGGCTTCTGAAGTTTCCTGCATCGGCCCAGATTGCTTTAAGCTGACATTTTTCATTCTTTCTAGTGTTTGTGCCGCTGGCATCATCTTGAGCATTATTCTGACTCTCAGAATTCGACCCGTTTACCAAATGCTTTATGCTGGTGGATCTTTCAGAATTCCTCAAACATCTTCGAGTACCTAAGAAGGTAGTATAGTTGAACAATGAATAAAAACAGAACAATATTTAAGTCAGTTATATATATAGTTGAGCAACAATGGGACCACCTGTTTAGTTTTGTGAAGTTTTGAAAGCTTATGTTTTCAACTTTATTTGCTTTTGGGATTGCTTAAGCATTTGATTTGGTTTTATGCTCCAACACCTTTAGACATGAAAATATGAGCTAATGTTATTTCTTGTATTTTTCGGTTAGTGCTGATAATCATACAAAAATTTCCCCCTTGTTGCTGTCAACCGGCAAGTTTTGGTTCCTATGACAAAAAAACAAAAAATAAGTATTGTAACATGAAATATAATATGGAGGACAAAAAGTACAAAGAAATCATAATTTAAAGATTAACTTATACAAATATTGTGCAAATAAAGTAATCATTTAAAAAAAGCCATCAATCTAAGTTACAACTTAAATTTGAAAGATTTGTGTCAAAGAAAAAAAACCTTAAAATTTGAAAGACTAAGGTGTAATTTTATCTTTTCATTTTATTGGAGCTTAAAAGACCACATGTAATTTTATCTTTACAACACACCCTTTAATCATTGACGGCAGTCGAACTAGATATAATTCGCTTTTTGACTTCTTGAATTAGATACGTTAAAATTTGTTTTAATTAGTAACACTTAAAACTGATATTTAAGATTTTGTACTTTTTTTATTATATGTTTCAATAAAATTTAAATTTCAAATGAACGTGTTTTGAAATTTTTAAAAATTAAATTAAAATTTAAATATTATATCAATTGATCTCAAGTGCGCGTCATTATGATTATAATGTATTGTCTGTCTTAGGTGTGAGAATTCCCATGACATAGTCTTTTCGTAAAGGCGCCTCGTTGAATTGAGGTGTTTGACTGTTGTATATAACATTACCCTTAGCCTTGATTCTCAAGAAATGTGAGAGTATTTTGACCAGTTTAGAACAATTGCCTCCAGTCGAGAATAAGGGACACAATGCAAACTTTGAGTTCTCATAGACGACGCTAACATTCCAGTCGACCTCAAGTATGTACCATTATGGCTATGAGGTATTGTCCATTTTGGTGGTGAGAACCCTCAAAACTTTGTTCTTTAGAAAAGACACCTCGTTTGGTTGACGTGAATGAGTGTTGTATATAAACTATCCTTAGCATCGATTATCAAGAAATGTGGAGCTATTTTGGCTAGTCTTGAACATATAATCCAGCATCACACAAATGCTCTGGATGAAAAGTCAGCTTGAAGACTTCAACATGTTTATCTAGAAATCCAATTTTGCATTCTAGGGCTAAGCATATAGAAATAAAACATCATTTTATTAGAGACTATATTTAGAAAGGAATTCTTACTTTAAAATTTATTGACACAGACCATCAATGGACTGATGTTTTTACAAAACTCCTTTCTGAAGATAGATTTAATTTCATTTTGAAACATCTCAGCATGAAATTGTGTCCAGAATAAGAAGTTTTATTTACATATTATGTAACCCTCAGAACTTTATATTTTATTTGTGAACATCTGATCAACATATCTTGAGAAGTTAGGAGTATAGTTGCTTCAGAATCTATCTAAGAAGATCTGAAACTTTCATTTCAAAGATAGACGCATGCAGTTCACACCATCAAACATATGTCATCCTCTCACAAGTTACCTTCTAAGGTTGAACACGCGTTCAAATTCTGAAGGGTCTAAGGCTCTGATTGGATGTATTGAGACACATGTCATGGTAACTGTTCAGTATCTACACGCAATCCCCTATTTTCAGGTTTCATAATTACAGTATAATCATTACTTTGTTTTCTCTTTATTACTGATTAAGTTTTCAAAACTGTTTATAAATACACAATCACTATTTCATTCACTTCTTCTCGCATCTATTATTTTCTCTAGTCTTCGTTTTGAAAAAACCATTTTCTCAAAAATCTCAAAACAAACTGTGTGGATAATGACATCTTCCTCAAGCATCAAAAATCTCCAAAATACTCCTGGTTCTTCTTCAACAGCTGAAAAGTATGAGGAACCCATAAGAACTTTGCTCACTCCGGTCGATTCTCTTGAAGTTTTATTTGAGCTTATCATCGATTTTGAAAGCTTAAAGGAAAATGGTTTTGATTTGTCTGAAGATGTAACGGCTCAAGGCTGGAATAGGTACTTTGATCGCTTGCTAGGTCCAGTATTCTCCATTTTTGTTAAGGAATTCTGGATTCACGCAACTTCATCTAATCGTCAAGTTACGTCTTACGTAATGGAGAAGAAGATTGTTATTACAAAAAACTTGATTGGAAAACTAATTGGGTACAATGGTGGCGGAGTTAGGTGCAGCGACATGGCTGAAAAGTGTTATGACCCAAAGTCCATTGCAAGAGTTATTTTTATTTTTGGACAACCATCCAGCAAGATAAGGGACTTGAAGGATTACCACAAAATCTGGGCCAGGATAATTCTGGGGTGTATAAATCATAGGAAGCCAACAGCTCTCCTGACTACATCAACATCGATCAACAGTTTCTGTTGTATTTTATTTCAAAGAAGACCAAAATAAATCTTCCACACTTGCTCTTCAATCATCTGAGAACAAGCGTAAAAGAAACAAGGGAAGAAGAAAGGAAAAAGAGGGATTGGATTCCTCTGGGCAGATTAATTTCTGATATTCTGACGGAAAACAGGTTGATACAACATCTGACAAAAGCTCACCAGATCAACACACTGGAGGCATGTGCTGGTAAACCACTTAATGCCAAGAATTTGAAGAAGATGAAGATTATTGATAACATTAAGAAGGAACCAACAGTTGCTACTCATGAAGTCATCACATCAAGGAGAATCCCTCTGAAAGATTTTCTGTTATTTTCTGTGATTGATGCTTCACCAGAGATTGTGGTCAGATACTTAGAATCTTGCAAGAAAGATGGAACAGATCCAGAACTTAACATTCATGATCTTCACTAGCAAGCTTCAGATGTTGTGTTGAAGAAATCCAGAAAGAGAAAGGTAGCAGAAGAAAGATCTTCTTAGAGGACACCCAAAGCTGCTAAAAATAAAGGTAACACTTCCTTTGTTTCTGTTGTAGAATCTATAGTTTTTCCAACATCTGAAACCATCCCCTCTCAACAAACAGAAGATCCTTCACCTCAAACTCTTGAGGAATTTGACATAGAATTTGATCCTTCTGTAACCTTAGGCAACTTTCTAAACGAACCTCAATCCCCCAATCCAAATCTAGAACAAAATCAGCCAGAACTGACTAGAGTTCTTTCTGATATTAAACTATTTGGTCAAGACTTTCAAACACCTACCCAAGAAAATCCAAACCTCCATACTCCACAACCAGAACATCAAAACCTCCATACTCCATAAACTAAAAATCCAAACTTTGAAACCCCTGAACCAGAAAATCGACACGCTACCGCAAACCAATCATAAGATTATTTTACAGACTCTGATACCACTACCCCTATTCCTGGAATAACCGAACCTCTTATGGTTCGTCAACCTCTCTCCATAATTGACATTCCATAAATACCATCACCCTATCATTCCACACCACCAAACACACCCCGTTCACCAATCATGATTTCTAATTCTCCTACTCCTTCTCCCATTAACCGTCCAGATGATCATCTCAGAACCATAATTGACTTAGAAGCGCTGGACCACCTAGCTTCAACCTCCAATAAAATTTCCATTCCCATACCTAAACCAACCATAACAAAAACAAATGTTGGTAAGAACTTGTTGATTTTTGAAACAGAATTTCAGGAATGGGTTAATTCTTTGAAGCAAGCAAGTATAGAAAATTCAAATCATGCTGCTTCTGATTCTCATTGGGATCGGTTCAGAAAATGGTTTAACTCTGAATCCCAGAGGCTGAAAGAATTAAGTTATGATATGGCTCGACAGAACTTCAGTGATCAGCTGAAATCTTTCAAAGATCAAGTTCCGAGTCACTAGGAAAAGAAAGCAATTCTTCTGCTGGATAATGCTCCCTGGAAAGAGCACCAACCTTCAGAAGTTAATGAACCATGTTCTGATAGTCACCCTCTGGTTATTGTTCAAGAAAAGGAAAATGAAACTGAAGAAGCAATTGAATCAGGAGATGATGCAGAGTATTCTGAAATACTTGCATCCTCTGAGGATACACCAGCTCCATCTCTGGTCATGCAAACTATGGAAGAAATAAAGAAGGAGAATGCTGAGGATACACCTAGAATCTCTATCTACGAATTAGCGTTTTCTGTTAGATTCCCTTCCCTAGGATAAAAACTAATAGTGGCGACTCTAATTAAAAAACCAGTTGCTAAAGGTCAAAATGACGCGCTCAGATCCTTGAGATCATGCTTCCAACCAATAAGTCAGGTATTAGGTCAAAAATCAAAGTTCGGTCATTTTCAGTCAAAACCCTAATTTTACCCATTTTGCCCTTTTGATAATATGAATGACTTTCTTGGAAAATTATGATCAAAGACTTGAAACTGACAGAAGTAATCCTGAGGGTCCATAATGATCCATGAAAGTCATTTGAAACATTATAAATCTGACTGCCTTTGTACAAAATCAGACCCTAATTTGAGGCATCAATGTTGAGGAGATTGTTTGACCTAGTCGATACTTGCGCCAAGTTGAGTCATTGAAGATCTTTTTAGGAAATATATTGAGAAATGAGAGGGAAAATTTTGGGGTACAACAGCTGCCCCTGTTCAATCTTCTTAAACCTAAAGAGTCATCGTTCGTGACTTAAAGGTGGAAGATGATTGAACACTAGAGTGCCCAAAAATTTGCACTCGATGGTAGGTTGGTTGATTGCATCGGGAATGGTCTTATAGATGTCATTTGGAGAATGTCAGTATATTATCGAAGATGGTCTTATAAATGCCATCCATAAGTGACGGGGAGTAATCGGAGATGGGCTTATAGATGTCATCCAAAGGATTATTGGTAGAGATTGGAAGAAGTATCAGGGTATATCTTTGGTAGATTTAATTTGAAT